CAATCCCAAAGCAAGGGAAGAAGAATGACAGATGAAATTTATCACTATAAGAAGAAATCAAAGTAAATAAGATTTTCCATGTTCCTGAATGTCATGGTAGTCAAAGAGTTTAGAGATGGATTTTTTGGTTCTATAAAGTCTTAGCTGTTATAATTACCTTCTGAAAATACCACTTGCAGTTAAAAATCAACTCTCACGAGCACGAAGGGAAGATGAGGACCTGTACCTGTATTGCTAAGGTCTTCCTGCTCTACAACAGGATGCTCATTCACTATGGAAACTCAGTACTCCATCTCCACCTGGCACAACAGGGCATCACTGAGGACAAGCACAGGAGACTTCAAGGCACCGAGCTCTTGTGGAGAATGGAACTACACAAGCAGCTGGTTTAACCAGGCTAAAAGAAAGAGCCTTCATGAAAGTCTTCATGAAACACACTGTCTTAGCGATCAACTGGTAAATGGACTTCAATCTATAACTATGATGATGTACATAAGAAAAATAATCCTAAAATAAACCATTAAAAGATGTATAAAGTAATCTCAGATGATTGCTGCTAGTGTGGAAAGAGGTCCAGGTCAAACCAAATTAATCCTGTGCAAACACTACCTCAAGTGCTCAGTAACAGTTAAGTAATCAAAAAATATTTTATGCCATTAGACGAACCTTTGGCCTATCTGCAACATTTAATACAAGGCATGGCAATATAACTCCCTTTCATGTCTCAAAAAATATACCTAAAAAGATACTGAGATAAATAAAGATGATCAAGGGGTACAGAGACATCACTAAGTACACTAGGACTCAACAGGTTGGAAAAGATAAAACTAAGACTGAGCATATTAGAAGCCCATAAAAACAGAGAGGCTGAACAGTGATTTGTTTTTCATGTTTTTTCTGATATAAGAAGTAGGGACATCACTTGAAACAAATGAAAGATGAAAACATAAATAATGGAGGTGGCTCTTCTGATACACAAGCTTATGAGAAGCTGGACATACAGATCATCACACAACCTTGGAAGTCAGACAAATCTCAGGGCTTTACTGACAATATTTACTCCCTTACTGTCTTCTAAAAATACTAGAATTTAGGAACCTGCAAATTTTTAAGTAGGAAGTGTGGCAGACATGGTGCACAATGCCACAATAATAAATCCATTTTGGAGGTGGAACACTTTAGTTTTGTGTTCATTCCCTTCCTTCAGAATCTCTCAATCTATCATCAGTCAGTATGATAAACCAGCAAGGTGTTAGATGTTCCTTGCCGTGTGTTTTGCAGTGAAATATAACCCTAGCAAAATCCTTGCCTTGGCCCCTTTTTCACTTACTTCAATTGCTGTGCCTGTTTTGATGTTGCTCTGTGTTTGATTTGCTCTCCAGCCAGAGCTTTCTTGGTCAGTATACACCTGCTGACAGATGAAAGCAGGTAAAATCATCAGTTCCTATGTGGTCTGCTGTCAGCCTATGCTTCTGCACAAGTAACACATAAACTGGGAGAAGAGCTGGCTGGGTGGTAACCCTCCATCATCCTCAGGAGAAAATGGCCCAAGGTTTCACCCAGCATCCCACTTTTTGTGGGTAACAGAGGCACCGTGAGTGTCTGCGTGCTGTTTTGTGAAATCTGACCTTGCACAGAACACTCACCCAGTTTGCTGGGTTTTTAAAGTACACGTAAATAAAACAAATTTATAAAATGAATGTGTTTTCATTTTTGAAAAACGAAGTATAGGAATTCTTACCCCTATGATGAAGGTATCTATGTGGCCATCCTCTCAGTCATTTTTCATAGTGCAGAATGTCAAAGATAACAAATCACAGAATCATTACACAAGGACAATATCCAAATCATATCTAGCTATCTCACTCATCGAACTGCACTGTTTTCTTTATAGATACAAAAGTGTCTACTCTGCATCTGTTGCAAAGACGTACTTACGACTTCCAGCAGAGAAAGAAACTGTGAGTTATGATCTTTTTCCCCTAATCTCTGGTTCTACTTATCCAAAATAAAGGTGATATATTTTGGTGCTTCAGTGCATCTACCAGGCAGCAAAAAGCTCCTCAAAGATGCAAACACTATCAGTGTTTTTCAGGCAAAAGAAGATTAATTGCCCTAGGAAGCATAGCTCTTGCAGACACAACTGAACTCTTTATCCACCTGCTTTTGGGAGCACAAGCATCTCCAGAGCTTGGACTTGTTTTGGGTAAACAACCCATCAGCTCATGCTGTATTCTCAACAGATCACAACTGCAAATCAAACTGACAAAACTGAACTGTCTCAAGTGCCAGTTCAGCATCTTATTAAGTACTATTAATAATATTAACCCAATAAACAAATCCAAATCCAACACAACAGCATTTACTAGTGCATCTTGGTCACTCTGAGAGATGCAAATGTTATTCTACCATACAGAGGATACTAAAGAGCTGGCACTAGGATACACATATCCTTGCTATGTGCCTCTTCTTTCACTTTTTTTTCTTAAATTTTATTTTATTTGGAAGATATACTAATATAGTCTGATCATTTTGGATGTATAGTCTAAAACTGTTCCTTATGGATGAAAGTTTTGAATATAGAACAAATCAGGAGTTGTTCTGGCTGCAAGGAAAACATTTATCATGGATTTGTATGTCAGCAAAACAGAAAACAGACAGAAGATCAATAACACTCATTAGAACTTTATCTACAGCTTAGCTCTAAAGTGACACTAAACACAAACTTTTCATGATCCTGAATGAGAATGGTCAGAAAATCTAGCACTGAACTTACTAACCTGAGAACAAAACAGGCAGACAGACAAAAATGCCCCATCGTAAAGTACAGAAATATCTTTTACAGAACAATCCAAGGTTTTCTTGCTTTTTAAAGTTTTTCCTTTCTTTTCTCTGCAATTCCAATAGCCTTTGCTTTACTAGTCTAGTGCTCTTGGGACAGCTAACATAAGAGAACAGAATTAAGGCAATATAACTGAATGATATAAATTTGACTTTGATATGTATGTCAGATATGTGGATGAGACAACCTGCTGTAAAACACTGAAGGACAGCTGGGACCAGCAAGTACAAAAAATAAGCTAAAAATCTGAAGAATTAAAGCGTTTTTAAAAATCTTGAAAAGAATCCTAGGTAAGGTGGGAAGTAAGGCCAACATCTGAACAGTTTTCACAGTAGGTAAAAGCTGATAAAACACAGCAGATCCCAAGGCAAAGATGATGTTAATAACAGTCAGCTTTGGTTCCATAAATCTCAACACCTCTTTCTCAATCCTGAAGCCCAGGAAACAACTCAGTAATATAAATTCATAATGAAACAGCTACTTCAAGCTTTTAACCCTCTATTCTTCCCTTTTTTATGATTTAGGCTGGCATTTAGGAAAAAGGATTTTAGAAAATGCTGTCCCAGTAATAGTCAGCCTGTTACTATATTGCATAATGAAGGGGGTGGCTATCTCAAATACCAGAAAGCTCAGATATGAGTGTTATTACTGAAGCACAGAGCAACCGCAGATGAACTGGATCCCTCTGTTGCCAAATTTTGACTGAATATTACCAGTGTTAATGGAGCCCATCACCAGCATCTGTGCTGTAGCCATGGTCCAGCCAGCTAAATCATCTATGAACTACAATCACTGCACTAGTTTTTTTTTCTTTTTCTTTTGGGTTTTGTATCTTTTTAGGAGGGAAAGCTATGGAGGACCCAATACCTACAAGAAAGTTATCAAGATGATGGAGTGAGGCTATTCACAGCATGCATGGTGGGAGGATGAGACACAACTGGCAGAAGCTGCAATGAGAGGTTCAAAAAGAGGGAATCTGTAGAAAGCTTTTCAAGATGGGGACAGGCAAGCAGTGGGACTCATCCTTGGAGGTTTTCAAGATCCAACAGTATACAGCCCTGAGCAACCTGCTCCAACATTAAAGGAACTCTGCCTTGAGGAGGAGGTTGGACTACATTACCTCTACAGATCACTTCAAAGCTGTATTACCCTATGATCCAATTGTGTGTACTGTTTCTGCACATTGTTTAATGAAAACTATGCCTGAACACAAGATTAGGGCAAAAGAGTTACAAATTACTTTTAACAAATTCCTATAATCACATGGAAATATCAAAACCTTCTGCTAATGCAGTGCAATAAACAGACAGTCCTGCTGTTAAAAAAAATCTCAGAAGACAATCAGAAATACTTAGCCTTGTTAAGACAGAAAGGCATTTGGAAATGAACACTCCTATTTAATTTTTCAGAATTCAGGAAAAATATAAGTAAAAATACTTGGAAAGTGCATTCACAAAAGGTATCAAGAGATGTTTAGGATTTGAGATGGGGCTTCCCAAATTGCAGAGAAAAATACCTGAAAAAACAGAACTGTCTGCAAGAACAGAAAAATTAATCCTGTCCTTATGAATAAACATCACTGAGGAGAGACAGAAATTTTAGGAAAAGTGGCTGAAGAAAGAAAATATTTTTATTAGCTGTCTAAAAAGAGAAAAAAAGAGACTACATTAAATGCAAAATATTTTACTTATTGCAAACAAAAGCTGTGGTAACAACATTGCACAATACCAAATTTTATGGTTTTGAAATTCACAGAAGTTACTTTTAATTCTGATTTTTTTCCTCCATATATCTTTATAATTATAGTTTTTACATTAGTTTTACATTATGACAAAAGTAAATTACTTACAGAAATGAAGACAAATTGTGTATAACCTGACATATTACTAATGTTTCATTTATATGTCACATAGTGTAATCACTTAGCACTTTGATCTGAAAAGGATTATTAGATTCAATGCTTTGCTAGTCGTATAACAGAATGATACAATCTGCACCAATATTTTAAAAGATTAGAAGTATATAGGAATTCACTGTAAGTATGCTGTTCGTATTTCTACAAAACGTAGGTAAAAGCTAACTTTGTTACTTCACTAGAACAACAGTTTCTCCCTTTTGTGTAAGATCTCCAGCAGACCAATGCATAAATCAAATGTTTTTAGATCCAATGCTGAATAGCCTGGAGGGCAGTGGTAAAAGTCCTGAGTGCAGGATGAGTCCGTCGATGAGTCATTAAGAGGGACCCGGCCTCTGCATTGAACCCGGCTTCTTTAAGTTGTTTAGCTATTTCCTCTATATCCCAGCCTCCTTCTCCCTGGTCAGCCAGCAAGTGGTCAATAAGGCGCGGATAGAAGGCAGTGGATATGCAGTTCACCACTAACTTGGCATCAAGGAGCAAGGAAAGTATTTCAGCATCACAATTGGAATCATCAACCTACAAAAACAGAAAAATCCAAAGTAATTAAAAACTAATTATCAGATACATCCGTCAACTAGAACATGTCATGAGCAACTGCACAGTGTGACCTTGAAAGCGAGATGAGTATGCTGTATGGTTTAAGAGCAGGGATACACACTTCACATGTGTTTGAATATTTAAAGGTATATCTTTAACAGTCTCTATCATATTAAAGTAAATATTTGACATGCATGAAGTTAAGGAATAAGGATGCTTAACAACCTGGCTAGGATTACATGAACAGTTTTATAGACTTTTCACAGGTTTTCAGCCCCAGTGCAGAATGAACCATAACACCTACATCCAAATCAAGAATGACACCATGAGGAAGGTCAGAGTAGAATATATTAAATATTGGTCACTTCTATTATTTATGATATGTTACATTTCACCTATTAATACAATAAGTAACATTCTCAGACTCAGCCAGTTTCAAGCACTTTTTTCAGAAGAATACAATCTGCATTTTCAAGGACTTGTAGCACAGAGCTGCTACCTCTGTAAGACATCCAGGATGCCTTAGAAAAATGTTGTTACTTGGTAAGTGAGAGCAAACATTATCTTGAAAATCTTGTCTATAGCTTTATGAATAACACCACAGAATACTTTAAATTCTATTTCAGTTAATTTTGACATGTTTTTCCTGGTTTCCTTGAAATGCAGTGTTGTTTTAATCAGCTTCTTCAAGAAGTGCAATAAAACAAATACATATAACCACAAAAAAGGACCAAAGGAGGGGTAGACAATAGACAGTTTTCAAGGACTGCATCTTACCAAGTTACAAATAAACTAATCAAATGATGTTATATTTACAAAACAATCTCTCAGTTTTAGAAGAAATTATCTGTCTGGTTAGCCTCTGTTTAATTATCTGTAAAAATTATGTACTATCTTACATGGTTGATACCAGAGTATCAGCAAGCACCAGTGATTTGGTATCCTTAAAGACCAATTCAACCACTACACACAAGCACAGGACATTACTGTATACTGAGAGATTTGGCACTGACACTTGGCAGTTGAAATGAAGCAATTTTTAATCTAACTGGTATCACAAAACATTTAACCCTGATTCTTTTCAGGACAGGATTTAAAATTTCCTTGTCTGTTTTCATTCAAGCTAAAACAGTGCAAAGCTTTGCTTTCTCGTGTTCACATGCCATGGGCTGCATCTACCCCTTGCCCCACCATTTTCACCATGAGCACATGGCAAGAGGCACTTCTTGGTTATAACCCAACTCCCTGTCCCATTAAGTCTCCACAATCACTTCTTAGTAACATGTAACAGTGTCAATGTGCAGTTGTCGGTTTTGGGGTTTTGTTTTGTTTTGAAATGACTATTTTGTTTCCAGAAAGACTGAACAGAAGTATGATCTATTAGTCCAGAAAATCAAATTTACTGGTAAAAAAAAATATCTTACCTACTCAGACACACACACTGTGAGAGATCATGCACACCATTTAACATGGATCATTTACTATGGGAGACTACTCCCTCCAGTTTCCCTATACAGTGAGTCAAACCAGAAACAGGATCCTCAAAGCATAAGTCAGAACAAGAACATAATTTTCTCTTGAATGTATGGAACTGCAAGATTCCCAACGTTTGGCATCTTATTTGGAGGAACCAATATTACATTTGCATGTAAGGAACAGGCAGAGTTCATGAGGAACGACCAGGTAGCTCCTTGCATTGAAGTGTATGAGAAATCCACAATTAGCTTCAGGATAAACAACTTCTTGTGAGGTAACTAAAAATTATTTTAGAAGAAAGATCTTTATTGTACCTAAATAGCTTTAGATAGTTTTAGTCGACGTGATGACTGAAAGCATGCCTGTGATAAGTAACAGAAATTTTAAAAAAAGGAAAAAGACAAAACATGAAATATTCTAGCATAAAAAGTAATCTTATAGATTGCAGAGCCAATGCAATCGTGTGTAGCAGCTATAGCTCCAGTTTACAACAGTTCTAAGAACTGTAGGGATGTCCAGTCTTTAAGTTGCCCATTTAAAGCTCTTGATTATTTAAATAAATCTATATTGTCACATGTTAATTGCTGACACGTTTTCCTGTTGAAGACAGTTTGATCCTCAAATAAAATTCTTAATGTTGGGATCTTGTAGCATACCACACGGCACATTAAACTGTTATCTGAAGAGCTGTCATCTTTCCTGCAATGGGGGCTGGAGGCATATGTCTGCCTCACCTTTGAGTGCTCTATTTTAGACCTGTATATAGGACGCAACTTTACACAGGGCTTCAGTGATTGATTTTGTGAACATAAAATGCAACAGTAATTACAGTAATGAGATTAACAGCAGATGAGAGGTTTACTTTAAATTAGTTTTTAGGCTATTATTCAGTTAATGAAAAGTCCTATAGATTAGAGTGATTTTATAAGCCTTAGCCTACAGGTCGGAGAGAGACGAGTCTGAAAGTAAAAGATCTTTTCTAGCATAAAACCATTACACATCTGAGCTATGCAATGGGGATGAAGATGCCCAAATGCTACACAGAAGCAGAGCAACCTGTGCATAAATGAGATCACTGTGTCTTTACACATAACAAAAGAGCACACAAAAAGCTCTTGGTTGTGTCTGACAGTTCATTCTTAAGTTCAAATAGTCCAGTAGGTTTAAATTGATGAACACTTCTCATTTTCTGACTTTAAGGCTGTCTGAAGACCTGGTCAGGAAGAGCAAATGTTCGAAATGTAATTGTCTCCAGGCAACTGGATGGAGACACAAGATGGCAATCAGACCCTCTGAATGCATTTCATGCAATTATGGCCACTACCTATTCTGCAACTCTTCGTTAAATCTAAGCGGAGCCTGACAGGTGTGGGAAGAACACAGAGAAGCCAAGGTTTAATGAGCACTGTGTATAAAAGTAGGCAATCTAGATAGATCAGAGCACTGGGCAACCATCAATGGAATATAATTTAACAACTCCAGATGCTGGATTCTTCAACTAGGATGTAGTAATGCCAAGCACAATTATAAACTGGGAGAGGAGTGTCTGGAGAGCAGCCCTGCAGAAAGGGATCTGGGGGTGCTGGTCGACAAGCAGGCTCAGTAGGAGTCATCATTGTGCCCTGGCAGCCAAGAGGGCAAACTGCATCCTGTGGTGCACCAAACACAGCATAATCAGCTGGTCAACAGGGGTGATTATCCCGCTGCATTTAGTGTTGGTGTGGCCTCACTCTGACTACTGTGTGCAGTTCTGGGCCCCACAATTTAAGAAGGATGTGAAGGTCCTTGAATGCATCCAGAGGAGGGCAACAGAGCTGGTGAAAGGGCTGGAAGGAATGTCCTGTGAAGAGCGGCTGAGGACTCTGAGCTTGTCTAGTTTGGAGAGAAGGAGGCTGAGGGGCAACCTCATTGCTCTCTACAGCTTCCTGAGGAGGGGATGTGCTCATCTCTTCTCCCTCGTATCCAATGAGAGGATGCATAGCAATGGTTCAAAGCCACCCCAGGGGAGGTTTATACTGGACATCAGGAAGCATTTCTTTACTGAGAGGGTGGTCAAACACTGGAAAGGCTTCCCAGAGAGAGAGAGAGTCAATGCCCCAATCCTGTCAGTGTTTAAGAGGCATTTGGACAATGCCCTTAATAAACTGCTTTAACTTTTGGTTGGCCCTGCATCGGACTAGGTGATCATTGTAGGTTCCTTCCAACCAAAACAGTCTCTTCTATTCTAATAAATTAATGTATATTTTAAAACATTAATTAAGAGAGCTTTTTTAAGCATCGCTGCTCAGTATATAAGCTGCAAGATTTAAAAAATAAAATAAATTTAAATGAACCTTAAGACTACATCTATTTAAAATTAATTTTAAAATAGAACAAGCACTAAAGCAAAAAATTAGTAAAATAATATTAAAGTAAATACAGCACATATTTAAAAGTAAAAAAACACCACACAGTATGATATGGTGCCTGCACAAGAAATGACTTGGCAAAACTAGGACTCACCAAACTATAAAAGAGGCAGCTTAGAGGGTATAATAGAGCAGATATCAACATCATTAGAGTATACAGGGATTGACTAAACAAATTCTGTCATAAAAAAGAATTATGAACCATCAAATGAGACTAGTAGGATCAGATTCAGAGTAAATAAAAGGAAATAGTTGGGTTTTTACACTGTTGAACTCTTTGGCAAATGATACTGCAGAATGTAAAAGCTCATCCAAATTCAAGGAGAAACTGGACAAAAATAGAGGAAGAAAACCACTGGCAGTTACTTAGTACACAAATACCTACAGCTGAAAGTGACTGGAAGCTGGGAGAGTGGTACCTCAGAAACGCAGCCTACATACTTGCCCTGTTCCTACTCTTGGCTAGTCTTGTAATTCTTCCCTCTGTTGGAGTCAGGATACTGTTCCAAACGGACTCAAAATTTTACCTTTTACCTTTCAAAAAAATTAATTCAAAACAACCTTAAGGGTTATTTTTGTTTGCCAAAGATTTCAATAATATTTGAAATGTTGTTTAAATTAGCATAGATTGGCTGTAAGTATATACTTCTAACCTGCATATCAAATATTAGCCTACAGTAGACACAGAAAACAAATGGCATTATATTTTCTTCTTCAAAATCACTCTTTTGACTAGATTTGAAAACAAGAGAGTAAAATCTGGTTAAGACAATTACTTAAAAGCAACCCTACCATCTCAGTGTCAAAAAGCTGCTGCTTCTGGGAGAACAGCAGAGGTAGGATCTTATTAATGAATCACTTCTGGTCTGCCTGCATATGCAGGGCCCTTACTATCCAAGGATCCTAAGTTCTAAAACTCTGGTTCCAGCAAAGTTTATCGCTGATCCCAGAAACACTATTTCAGTGATACGGGATGCAGCTGACTGCAGTTTAAGTAAGCCTCAGAGGTGCAGGTATCTTCTGCACAAATGAATACACAACCACTTTCCATATTGCATGAACACATTATCAACTACAGTAATGATAAGCTCAGAG